TAATAAAAAAAATTAAAATAATAATAATAATAATAATAATAATAATAATAATAATAACAATTAAAAAAATTGATATGTTATTAGGCTGTGGGGTGTGGGTGCGGTCTATATCGCACCTTTTGCCACATAGGCAGGGGAACACTACCCCTGACTGCGGTTTAGGCCACAGTGCGGTACTCCCTTGCTGCACATTCACTTTCTCTCTCCTCTTTTATTTGTTTTCTCTCTTCTCTTTCAACCAATTACCTTCTTTTTTTTTCTTTTTCTCTCTCTCTCTTTACCATAGTCTCACTCCCTTGGTGTGACATGAAACCACACTTGTATGGTAAAAAGTGACGTGACATTTATGTGGTGGGGGAGGGAGTGCAATTTCGGTGACACCGCTCCCTCCAGCTTTACTACTCATTTTTTATTATCATACACTCTCAATCATTACTTTTTAAGTAAAAATAATTAAAATATGATAGCATTTTTCGTGTAAAAGTGTTTTTCTCTCTTCTTCTCATATTTTTAAGTAAAAGTAATAATTATTTCATAAGTAAATAGTTTTATTAATTATATATATATATATATATATATATATATATATATATATATATATATATATATATATATATATATATATATTCATTTTTGGTTTGATATAATATTATTGGAAAATTTTCATAAAAATCTTTTTTTTTTAGTTTAGCTATTGTTTTTTTAATAAATAAATGTCGTTTCCTACGCTTTCTTATTTCCTAGTGTTTCGCTTGGATTTTTTTCAAATATTCCATTATTGGTCTTCAAAATAACTACAACGACGGCGAGTTAAATATATATTTTTTATTATTTTATATTGTCACAATAATATTGGCCATCAAAGTTTGATAAGTGAATTGTGTTATAGTTTGCTTATAGCCAAAAATGATTTTGTTTGTCCCGCTAAAAAAAACAAATTATATTTACGATATATCAACCAATATTTTTATAGATTTTTTTAAACATATAACTTGTTTTTCTTTTAAAATATATCAAACAAATATGTTTTAATAATGTTTACTAGTACTATATAATTTTTTGGTTACTAGGCTGACACGATTAACTCCCAGGTAGCCTACCAACTAACATTTTCATACCATATGTTTAGAGAGTTTTTGGGACTGCTTTTTAACCTAAAAAGCCTTTTTCAATTAAATGATTTCTTGTCTTATAACTTTACAAAAAAGTGTTTTAAAATGTGTTTGAATTATTTTTTGAGGAAGCAAATGCTAAAAAGCCAAAAGTAAAAAAAAATCACAATTTTTGGCTTTTAAAATCACTCATTTTTCTTCTCGTCAAAAAATCATTCTAAAAGGATTTTTAGAATTGTCATACACATTTTCAAACTTTTAATTTTTTAGAAAAACTAAATGTTTAAAAAGTCATTTTAAAAAGTAATCCCAAACACCTTTTTAATATGTTTAATGATGTTTATTAATAAAGGTAAAAATTTGAATTCATTATATATGTGAGGCACAATAAGTTAAATTTTTTTTTTTATCGTAACAAAAAAAAAAGATGATATATATATATATATATATATATATATATATATATATATATATATATATATATATATATATATATTATATATATATATATATATCATACTTTATAGAATTAAAAATATAAAAAATATTTTAGTAAATAGATTTACAAATATTTATGTATCTTTTAAAAATATAATATAAATAAGTTATCTATAACTAAACCAAATAAAAAAATAATAATATTCTAATAAATAGGTTTATAAATATTAACTAGTTATATATATTAAAAAAAACTATTAATAATAACTATGTAATCATAATTTAATTATTAAAATAACTAAAAGTAGTAATGATTAGTAAAAAAAAAAGTAAAATGATTAGTAAAAACAATGATTGGAAAAATGATTAGAGGGTAGAGATAAGTGAAGATGTGGTAGAAATAAATGAAGCCTTAAAAAAAACAACTCAAGCTCATATCATTAGTTGAAATCATGAATTTCGATCTATGAATCCTAGGTTTAAAATACCGAAAACATCACTATTCAAACAAGAACTTGAACCAAACACAATGAAAACCTCATTATAAGTCATGGGATGAGAAATAGATCATAGATTTGAAGTTGAATACATATTCTAAAAACAAAATCAAGTTCATATCAATACAAGGAACATGGAATCCAGATTTAGAGATATAGGGTTTGAAAACCTATTAATTAGTATCCAAACTCACAAATGTCACAAGTATTTGTTAATTGGAGCTTGGAGATGGATCTAAGAATGGAATAGAAACATGAAACTCTTACGGACATCATATATTGAATATGAAATTTGGATTTGCCCAAACACATAAACTTTAGAATGAATTTGGAAGAAAAGAGGAACAAGAAGCTACTTCTTGATGCAAAAGTTAAAGGGATTTGACTAAGGGTTCACTCATGAGCTTCAAAAACCAAAACACCATGGATTTAGTAGGGAAAATGGTTCATGGAATCAAGGTGTACACTAAAATCGTTTTAGAGAAGAAAAGGGTAGATGGATGAAAAGAAGTGGCTGATTAAACCCTATTAAATAACTGATTTGCATCGGGGACACGACATGTTGCCCTAGAGAACGTGGCGTGTCGACATAAGTTCGGGAAACTGACACTTTTGGTCCTTTCTCCTAATATATATTCAAAATAACTCCCAAACCCTCTAAAAACTTATAATAATTCACATATGTTCGTTCACCATGACAAGCTATATAAACTAGGTCCTAGTTACTTAATTGGTCAACTCTCAAGTCATAACAAGTTTCACCAACTTGTCATAAATGGTCATTCTCTTCAAAAATATTCAGTAGACACTAAAATTCTAGATATTAACTACTAGCACGATCAATTATTGTTATTATTATTTTTTTTTTATCATTAATCACTATTTAAAAATATTTAATTAATTAATATTTTTAAAATAATTATTTATTATTAAATAAAAAAAATTAGTTTGCTTCAAATTTTCTAGCCTCTAAAACAAAATTTTAAGACTATAGTTACAGAGCATAACACCTTTAGGGTGGACGGAGTTGATGAAAGATTCCCATGGGTTCACGTCGGTAGCACTACTGGCTACAAGGTTCTTTGGAGCGCTGGTACCGCCAAATGAGATTCCTCACGAGTTAGAAAACCTTATGTTCTCTTCTATACACCTATACACCATGCATTAATACTTGTACTATATATAGTTTTGTATGTTTTTAATTAGTTTGTGAATTAATATTGTATATTTTTAATTGGTTTGTATTTTTTTAAATAAAAACCAGGTGGTTGGTTGGGATGAGAGTGATGTGTTTCCATGTGTTGTGGGTTGACAAGCGGATGTGAGAGGAGTGAGAACTTTATAATCTCTTTGACTATTCAACGAGGACCTAAACACAATCAATATATTCACATTATTACCTTAAACTAAAAGTTGGCATCTTCCAATTTATAACACCTTATTAAATAATTATGTACATTAACTTATGTTCATTTTTTTTAAAGATGTATTTCAAGTTAGTTAACTTTTAATTAGAATATCAGATACATTAACTAAAGCTCTAAGCGAACCAAAGCCACCCATTTTGCAAATCCAGACCATAGTCGCACTTTATATACATCTCCTAATTACTTTGCACTGTATACACATCTGCTTTGTAGGCTACTGTACTTGGTGAAACAAAATAAAAGAAAAGAAACGATATATAGTCATGGGATTGCTTTGCTTGCTAAGAGCAAGTGCTAAAATTAAGAGAAAAAAAGAAAATATTATCAAGGCACATGGGAAGGAAGTGGTCCATCTTGATGTATTGTTGAGTTATATTAGGATAAAAGAAGGCATAAAAAACAAGATAGTAAAGAAAGCATATCATCATATCGAAGGATATCAATTGGTAAAAGAACAAAAACAATATGAAGTTGGCTTAGATCACCTTGCATATCAAAACAAAATTATATGGTTTGTGTTCGGTTTTTCTTACCCATTAAGGGCTATATGCAAAAACCGGGGTTCTGTAGTCAATTGACAATAGATAATTTTAAAAAAATTAACCCTAATCTGCTGTTAACCCTAATAGATAATCAGTCCATATTGCAAACTGATATACATATAAACATAAGCCTAATAGATTAATCAAGAAAGAATAATCAATAATGGAGAATACGAGGAAGAAGAACATATTGTTTCGGATTTTAGTTCTTGTCTTCTTGATAGCCTTGAAGTTTTCAGTTTTGACTTTTGATTTTGAACAATCAACAATGGAGAATCAAAACAAGAAGAACATGATCGAGAATGGACTAATCAAGAATGGATTAGTATTCAATCGAGATTGGTTTCTGCTGAGAATAGAGAATCAAAGAATGAGAGGGAAGAACTAAGGCTGATGATTTTTCTGGCGTGCACTAATGGAGATAGAAAAATTGACTAATCGAGATTTGCTTAATTGGGTTAAAGGAGCCCCTTAGAATTGGGGGCCCTAAGCAAGGGCTTAGTAAACTTAAAGGTAAGGCCGACCCTGCTTCAAGTGGCTTAGGAAAGGTAGGAGGGATGGACTCTCTCCCCCCTTATAAATACAAAACTGAACATAAAAACCATAATGCAATTGAGTTTTTAAAGTAGAATTTATTAATAAGAAAAAATTGAGCCATAATGATGTAACATTTCGTCTCTAAAACAAAATTTTATTTAAATAATTTATTGCAATTAGAGATAACGTATCGTCTCTAAAAGAAATTAAATAATCGAATAATATTTTACTTTTAGAGACAACATGTCGTCTCTAATTCAAATCACTTTCAGCGATGACACCCATGTCGTCGCAAATGAAACATTTAGCGACAGAGCTACAGAGACGAAGCTATCTGCGACAACCGTCGTCGCTATTAACCTTTAGCGACAACATTGATACTTTTTGAGACAACATTTGTTGTCTCTAAAAAGCAATTTTCTTGTAGTGAGAATGAAATGAAAGTAGGATGCAATAATACACAAACTAATAAAATTATGAACTACATTGTTTTTCATGCATTTAGCCTTTCTTTTAATACAATATTAACTGCTGCTTCCCTCTTCTTTAACAACTTTCTCCAATTTTTTCATTTCAGAATCTTCCCACTGTATATTCTCATTGTGTGCCTTCTTAAATTTCACAATAAAACGCACCAGAGAAGTTATAACTGTAAAAACAAACCCAATAAAATATCACATATCCACATACAAACTACTAATCAAAAAATTCACCTTAATCTGATTATTAGAATACTAAAAGCATAGACAAATAACCTAAGTGTAGAGAAGTTTGCATTTCAAAGTTTCTAAGCTTCGAATTCATAAGTGTGGAGATTTTTTCTATCTCCAAATTATTACATCTACACATTTACTAACATGAATTTTTTTCTTTTGTTATCTCTATACACCTATGAGTGTGTAGCTTTATTATTATTCTAAGACTTATAAACTTAAGACACTTGCATGCGCTTATAAGTGGGACAAAATTTAACGTTTCTATAATGGGTGCACGCACTATTAAATGAAAAAAAAACACATTTGAAGAGACAAATATTCATTTTAGGAAATGTACGTTTTTTGTCCGCATTCAAACAATACTTATTTTACTTTATGATGATATATGAAGTATGTTGCTACTTTGCACAAAATGATGAAAGGACGTTTTTTAAACTATATGAAAATTAAAGTAATTTGCTATCCACATAAAAAACTAAGATATTGACACTAAAATCTAAAACATACCTTGCTCCCAAGGAACCCGACTGGGATCCTCCCCGAAATATACCGCAAGTGAGTCTGCATACTGAGCCTGCAAAACAAGTATGCTTGTTACAATGTGAAGCAGTAAAATCGAATTTTTCTCTTTTTTTTTTTTGGAGTTAATAGATTTATAAAAGACTCACCACTTCATTAAACGAAGACGTAAGAGGTGGGAGTTGATCATCAGCACTATCAAGAAAGCTCTTCAAGGCCTGGACAGCAATTGAAGAATTGATTTAGTTTCTCAAAAGAAAAAAAAAAAAACAATATCAACGAATATAAGTCATTTCAGATGAAGTATCAATCAGAATCCGTTTTTGTTTTATCTTCAATACAATAAAATCAATATAACCAATTTTACTAAAGATCCATGAAAAATAAATAACTAAATATGTACTTACCTCTCGGAATCGAGCTGACACATCACCATCATTATCCGAAGCATCAAATTCATTTTGAGCCTTCTTGAAACCGTTGATTATTGCATACTTGTCCTCATGCAAACTTTTAATTTGTATCTAATGGTTTGATGTGGATACCATAATGGAAAAGGATCACAATTCACAATCAAACAAAAAAACCAGATTAATTTTGAGGCATTAATTACCATGGAGGCAGATTGTAAGTGAATAAGATCCTTGTCAAAATCCAATAACTCTGGTGTTTGCTCAGCAACCACCTAATTAATAAGCAATAGTAGAACATATAAGTACCAAAAATGAAAACATAATAAAATTAGTGAGACATGAAATTATATTGAATACGTAGCGAATGTAGATATCATAATTTTAATTTTCTTCTAGTTAATAAACTGATAGCCAGTGTAAGGACAAAACTAGGTGTCAAACAGATTTATTTTATACCTTGCATAGATAATGCAAGAGAGTGATCTTCTTATCCGTTGCATATGTATATCCCAAATCCCGAAAATTGTCTAATCTAAAACCTCCATTGGATCCTGCAACGTAGATGATATAATATATATATACCTCATTGCATGAAACATAGAAAGGAAATATAACCTTCAAAATATGATAATATTTCAGCAATCGTTTCCTACTACACCTTTGTTTAATTTATTCCCCATAGTGAAAATTATCTGCATTATCTTCACCAGCTTTGTGGATTCCATAATCTAATTAAATCATGCAAATGAAACTAGGAATTTGAAAAAATATCACGATCATACTTTCTCATTTAAGTGGGTACGTATAAGCTTTACTTGTAACTGAAATATCAAATTAAAGAATCTAAGATGCAAGTTACCTCTTTAGTAGCGTCTTTGATTGTACTCAGGTTTTCACTCAAATTGTTAACCTACAGTTTTTTTGAACTTAAGCCAATAATTAAAACAGACAAAACTCTTCGGTAAAATAGTAAAAGAATTCTGTAAGCATATTCACCTGACTGCTAAAAGTAATTGTGAACGCAAATACTCGTAGTTTTGGCTTTATTCTTGGTATCTTCGCACATTCCAAAAAGAACTAAAACGCCAAAAATGTATCATAATTCATTTTGTAAGGAATTATATTTTTCTACAATACTTACGATTTATGACTAAGAATACCTGTTCACATTGTCCAAGCATTTTCTTGTATCCAGTATAGCTCTGAGATTATGTGTGTGTTATTAGGAGTGATAAGAAGAATACAAAGTAAGAAGGGGAAGAACATAGCAGAAAGTAGTACCTTTACTATCTCCATTTCTTCTTTTGTAGGACAAAACTCGATAAGATTATAAACTTGATGAACATTCATAGCAAAAGAGTTCAACGAAAGAATGGCTTTCTGAAAATCAAACACAGCTTGTTAATGTTGTAATGAGATCTCCGACAATAAAGCAAACTACAACTTAATTAAACCAGCAAGAAGTTTTGAATTTTTTATGCTACAAAATCTAATTGTGGAATGAATCATGAACGATCTGTCTTACATAGTGATTAAGTGTTGTATATAAACGATTTGGTTCAGATCGTGTATAGGATTTCTGGTTTTGCTTGGTTTATCTCCTAAAATTAAATGAACTTACAATAATATCATGTAGGGGTAGATTTATTTTCCCAAGTATGATTTCCCAAGCACTTGCTCTCAACGGTTTAATCTGAAAAAAAAAATCAAAATGACTTAACAATGCTTATGTAAAGAAAATGAAGGATTTTATTATAAAACTGAAGCATTGAGATGTTAAAAAGTACATCTTGAATCAACTAACCAAACAAATGTTTTCTGGTTTTAGCTTTTCGGAACTTGGTTGACCTAGATTCTTGTGTGCGCCTGTTGACATTGAAGCAGTTGAAAACAAACTCTCAAGCTCCGTTATATCAATTTCAGGAGCCCTATATATAAAGTAACAAATTTCATCATTTTTTACTCCTGAACCTAAACCAAAATATGATATGTTTTTATAAAATGAATAACAATTGTCATCCAACAAATCCGCATACCTTGATTGGTTCCCGTGTTTTTGAGACACATTCCATAAACTTCCTTCCTTTGCATTGGTTTTCATCAATTGGAGGGGCTTTAAAGGTCTTTGATTTATAGAAGCTGAAGAACTTACACCAGAATGTGGAGGTGGTAGTGGCACACTAGAGTTGTCCGGAGGAGGAGGTGGCAGTGATACATTATAGTTCTTTGAACGTGCAGGTGGAAGTGGAGGTGGTGGTGGAGGTGGAACCTTAATCAACAGAAAGTGTGAATTTAGTCATACAACATTTCTTAATCTGATAATAGTATTATCATATGACACTTGAAAAGCATAGAATATAATCATATATTAACAAACGTAAAGCACTAAAAGGTCCAACTACCCATCATTAGCATCACATTGGTTGCTAGTTTAAGAAGATGATAAAGAAACGTAGACATAAAAGATAATTTGATTTTCATTATATATTTAGATATATTTTTGGTCCTTGGTTAATAACACTTTTGTCCAACCACAGGTTACTACTAGGTACTAGCATATTAAGGAAATTAATTATAACGAAAAAGTTAAATTAGATTGATGATGAAAAATGGAAAAAATAAACTTACTTGATACTTCATAGCAGTTTCAAGTATTCTCACAACCTCGTTCGTTAGTGGTCGTTTTTCACGGTTCCTTTTCAAACATCTATAAGCAATTGTTGCAAATGCCTTCAACGAACAAGGATTTATTTCATCCTTTACATTACCAAAGATAATTCCACTTAGGTTATTCTTTTTGTAACACTTTCGTACCAATTCAGTAAAAGGTTGATGCATACCCTTGTTGTCAATACACAACCTCCCACACAAAACTTCAAACATCACCACGCCAAATGAATATACATCAGACTCCTTTGTTAGTAACCCCGTTTCTACATACAACGGATCACAATACCCAAACGTACCTACAGCACGGGAGACTATAAATGTATAATGCTGATTAGCTGGACCAAATTTGGATAGACCCAAATCTGAGATCTTGGCGTTCCAATTTTCATCTAGTAATATGTTGGAACTTTTAATATCCCGGTGTAATACTCTTTGTTGGCTCCCAGCAGGATCATGAAGATATGCTAATCCACAAGCCACCCCTATGCATATATTAAGGCGTCGAACCCATTTTAGATCATTGCTATTGAGGTGTAAGTCAAGACTTCTGTTTGATGCATATTCGTACACTACGATCTTCTCACCACTCTCATCACAAAATCCTAAGAGGGAGATGATGTTTTCATGTCTGTAAAGGGAAAGCATAATGATTTCTTTCCAGAATTCAGGATCTCCTTGCCCAAATGCACGATCTAAACGTTTTAAGGCAACGGTGGCATGGCCCTTCGAATGGACGAGTTCGCCCTTGTAGACTTTCCCAAATCCTCCTTTTCCGATGCATTTATCTTCAGAAAAGTTGTTGGTTGTTGATATTATAGCTTCTAATTGTATTTTGAGGTGTTCGAACTGTTTTCTAATAGACATCATTTTGATGATCAATCAAAAATAGGAAATACGACTAACGCGTACAAAGAATTAAAGTTGGAGGACGTAGCAAGGACGAGAATGGTGATGCAGCGACGGCGCCAGGAGACGTGGATTGTGGAATGTACAGACTTCAAATAGACTGGGGTACAAAAATTGAAAAAGTCAATAACTGATGTGAGGGTGAAAAACAAAATGGAGAATTGAGAGGCGTTTCGTATTATCGTATAGACTTGGAAAAATGTCATGTGTTATTAATTCATCTATTAAAAAAATATTAAATGCAACCATTATATCTTATCTTTTTCTATTAACTTTTGTGATAATAAAAGTTGATAGACATATGGTTAAAATCTCGTACATATGAGACAAAACCTTATTTGTTTCCCTTTAATTATTGGTCCAATCTCCATTATTCATCCAACTACTCCATAATCAATTGTTTCAAAAATAAATAAATTAATAAATTAAGTTTCAATCACTGAACCTACAGAACCAAATAAATATAATAAAATTAAGTTAAAATTTGATAAGTACAATTTAAAAATAATTAAGTTATTTATATTAATTATTAGATAGCAATTTCTAACATTAATTTGTTATATGAAAAAACTATAAAAAAATGATCTTATGATTTATCAAAGACAAAACTGCAAATTTAGTTCCTGTGTTTTCGAAAAATTATGGATAGAATCTAACAAGTTTTCAACTTGCATTAAAGGTCCAAAATCAAGTTTTATTCGTGATTTTGGTCCCAAATTTAAGAAATTTTCATGGTTTTGGTCCAAAGAGAACTTAAAATGATAGTTTTGCCTTTATTATTTATTTTTTACATTTTTTGATTTATTTTACTATTTCATTAATTATAAAAAAATAAAAAATCAAATCCCACCACCCCACCCCACCCCCGCCCCACCGGTAACCCTCTTCCATCTATCTATCATACTCTTTCGAATTTCTCTCCCATCGTCTTCTTCCTCATTCTCAATTGCATATCAAATCTCACATATACACTTCCTCTGTATATTCTCCTCAGTAATCTATATATATTTTGCAAGTATGGGAGTTATTTCCATGGAGACGAATCTGTTATATCTCAATTCGATGGCATCAGGAAGAAACAAATCGATTTTTGTGTATTTTAGGACTGTTGATTAACATAGACACACACAAATCGATGGTTGGATGAACCGATAGAAAATCTAAAGAGAAAATGTCAAGATTTGGATATGGATTTGAACTCAAGCTAAAATCATTGTTGCCATCCTCCACTTGAAATCAAAAGCATAAATTAAAACCTAAAATCAAAACCATATTCGATACCCAAAATCAAACCGAGTAGAATGATGGTGATGAAAAAACATCATGATTCGGGAAATAAAAATCAAATGCTAAAAAATCAAACTTGATGGGATCGACGGTACAAGGAATTGGAAACAAAATTTCACAAGGTTATAATTGAGGTTCATCAAATTACAGAAGCTAAAAGAGTTTTAAAGTTGATCACGATAGTTATGGCTTCATTGTGGTGTTTATGATCTCCTGGTGCAATTTCAGAGGTGACTTACTAGATGAAGGTTATTTGACATAGATCCGGCGACAATGGCTCAACCCGCTTGCAACATTTTCTCTCTAGAAAATATAGCCAGGGGTCGAGATCTTTAGATACCCCTCAAAGCTTTGAGGCAAATTTCAGACCTGTGGTTTCAACTAGTTGCGATGGTGGCTATTTTTTCGATTTATTGAAAATATAGACATCCATCAAAAACACCGTCGTGAAGTGGAAACACCGGAGAATTTCAACATATGCCCAAAAGAGCTTTTGAGTCATGTTTTCAGAATTATGGAAGATACAACAAGATGGGTTGAAGATGAAAGGTGGAGAAGAAGATCCGAGGTGAAAATTCACATCCTCCCCAACATCTATTTCTTTTCCATCTTGAGTGATATCGACGTCTTCACTATCCCTTCTTTTTTCGGTCATTTAACTCCGACGAATCAACACCACAACCGACCATCCTTCTTTTTGTGATGCATTGGGTTGTGGTGGCGTAAAATTTGATCAAGAGACAGTGGGTTGTGGTGTTGGTTCGCCAGAGTTAAGGGAACGAAAAAAGAAGGGATGGTGAAGACGTCGATGTCACTAAAGATGGAAAGGAAATAAAAGTTAGGGAGGATAAGATATAGATATGGGGGTCTATTAATTTTTCTAAATATATAAAAAATAAATACACAAATAAGAAAATTAATTAAAAAAATAAATTAATAAGGGCATAATACTCTTTTTAGGTAAGACAAAAACCAAGCGTGCAACAAAAATAAACAGTAGGGACCATTCGAGTTAAAAAAAATAAGTTAGGGACCAAACGCATAAATTTCTCCAACTCACACGGACCATTCATGTAATTTACTCTTACTTTTTGTTTTGTTATATTTGGGTACTATTTATTTTGTACACATCTAGGTAACGAACCTGTTGAAAGTGTTCACATACCGGATGTAACCTGCTATAGCAGGTCATAATGGTCATATGTGAACACTTCCAAAAAGGTTGTTACTTAGATATACACAAAAAAAAAAATAGTTACCCAGATGTGAACAAATCGAAAAGTTAATTACCTTAATAAATCATATTTTCGGGGGATGAAGGCGAGAAATTGGGTGATGGTGTTGTTGTAACGCCCACATAAATCAAGCCAATTTAAAACTTTTTCAACCAATTAAAAGCCATAAATTATTACAAAGTGTTTTCAAAATAGTTTCATGTCAGAGTATCCCAGAAATCAAAATCATAAAATGTAAGGAGTTGTACGATCACGCCTTCACCTTCCCGCGATCATCCGAAGTACCTAAAACCAAAATTGAAACTGTAAGCCCGAAGCTTAGTGAGTTCCCTAAAAATACCGATACATAAAAAATAGTACACATAATAACAGCATGTAATGAGTCCACAACTCTACAGAATCGATTACCCCCGAGCTCACAGTATGAGTCTGGCTTGCCTTACAGGCCCATAACTCATATATGGCTTGCTCCCTCAGTCCTAGGACTGTAACGAAATGATTAGCCCTCAGTGCGAGTTTGGTATGCTCTCCTGGCCTTCAGCTCGCATATGGAATACTTAGGAGTCCTCAGTATGAGTCTGGCATGTCCTCCCTGACCCTCAGCTCATATCTAGCATACTCCAGGGTTTGTTGGTCATTACACGGAGCAGTGCAACCTCAACCCTACCCACATAACATGTCAATATATAATAGATATTCTATGTACAGATAATCATACTGTATCACATGTAGTCCTACTGATCTACCAGACTAGCATATCGAACTAACAAGCATATCTAACTTATACTCAGGATAACAATAATTACTAGGATATCAATCCAATGGGTTGGCCTTGGTGCCTTAGACCCCTTAGTATAGTGAGGATAACTCACCTCACAAATGTCGAAATGTAGTGATAAGTCAAACTCTCGAATCATAGCCACGAACTCCACCACCTATACCCACCATAAAATCATTTCCATAAATTCCCAATTTACTAAAATACCCCCAAAAGTCAAACTGGTCAACCCTTGGTCAAGGTCAAAGTCAACCATCAAAGTTAATAGTTCATGTTGACCTAAATCGCCGAGTGCAGCTTACTGGTTCGTGGAGTCCTTCCAGAACTCGAGAAATCGCGAAAACCCTAGTTGACTCGATGAGTTTCCAGACAACTCGTCGAGTCGTCTTACTGACTCACCGACTCCATACAAAAACTAACCACAATCAATCTTCATCGGACTCATGGAGTCTTTTATGCGAATCGTCAAGTTCATGCAGTCCATTTCTTATCCAAATGTTTTTAAGCCACTCCAAAGCTCCATATTGCAAATCTAACCTCCTGGGGGATGGTTTCCACGTGAAGTTGCAAACTTTACGTGCATGCATGGTCCTAAATGCCAAAACCAAACTAAGGGAAAGGTTTAACCCAAGTAGAAAGGCCTAAGCTTACTAAATCAGATAACTTTATGGCTATAGGGACCAAGAGGAGTCCATATCTGAAGTTACAACTTCAGATCATGCCCAATACACGAAGCGACTCCCAAAAATGCTAAAGATGGCCCTAAACCTAAGCATGAAAAGATCTAGCTAAAGATAAGCCAAGGTAACAAATTGTTACCTTCAAAATGATGCCAAGATGAAGTAGAGTGAGATCCACAAGTTCCTCTTTGCTCCAAGCTCCTTATACTTCAAGCCTTCTTCACTAAATGAACCAAAAGCACTTTTTAATCCTCACAAACACACAAGAACAAGGTCTAAGCTGTTTAGGGTTTCTATTGGACGTCAAGAGGTGGTAAGGGACTAGAAGTAAGGACTTAAGGTCCTTTAAATAGGGTGCAATCCCTAAAAATTAGGGTTTCATCTTCCAGTTCCTACTCGTCGAGTCTGGATCCTCCGACTCGTCGAGTAGGTCCAATAATCATGCGGGCTAACCCGCCTCTACACGACGAGTTAGGGCAACCAACTCATCGAGTAGGTCCATAAGCATGTACTTCATGCTTTAAAACTCATACATGGGAGTTGGGTGTTACAATTCTACCCCACTTGAATTAGACTTCATCCTCGAAGTCTGGGTAGTACTCCCGCATCTCTGCCTCCGACACCTATGTCCATTCGTGTAACGCCCATCTCTTGAGGTATTAATTATTAATTATTTTTTAAATTATTGTTGGGCTTATTATGGAAGGAAAAGAATATTGTTTTGGGTTTATCCATTTGGGCTAAGTATTGGGTAGCCTATAAGACGTACGTTGGGTGTAGCATGGACGTACGCGGGGCGAAAGCAGGGACGCGCACACTTAAGCGCAACGTACCACTAGGTACGCGCATCGTAAGTGGCAGATAAGAAAACCCTAATTTAAGGGTTTAAGACATATATAAACCCCATGATAGCCTCCCTATGGATTCTTACCAGCCTCCTCACCCCAAAAGAAAACCCTAATACGTCAACTTATGTGTTTA